TTTTCATCGTAACACCACGATTGAATTGTACTCAATTTAGAATAATAATAATGATAGTTTATATTTTCGTATAAACGAGTGTTTTCAAAAATGAAAGATATTTTTACAGATACGATCAGCTATGATGTAAGTTACAATCGTGAAGTATTATAAATCTATAATTATTAATGGTATAAGAGTATATTCCACAACTGTAATCCAGGGTGCGTCGTGGGGTAATGCGTAATTCACGAAAGAATTGTAGGTTATGGGACCAATAATGTTTGCAGATCATTTGTCATTGTGAGCGGTCAAATATCCACATTCTTCATTCTCATTCAAAAAGTCAAATGGAAGCTAAAATGGTGAGACAAAAAAGAAGACAAACAACAGCAACTCAAAAGAAAGCAAGAGGAGTCCTAAAGAGTGATCAATAAGTATATACATAAATATTCTGTTTAGTAACTATGGTTGTTTTGATACACAAACTAACTAGTCCCGTTATGATAACTTTGATAATAGGTGTGAACTAATGTTACTGTTCTGTGTAGAAATGTTTGTCATGTAGTTCCAGTAATATTAAAATTTATAATTGTAGTTTGTTGTAACTACACGTTTAAAGAACTTAAAATATCTATGTGGGGTGAAAAAAAGAGTATAAGAGTCAGACGCAGAAGTGCATTGTCATCTTTGAGCAGTCTGGTGACTGAGGAGGTGAACACTGGAAGTGTGTTTGCATCGCACACATTAGCTGGTAGTCTATTCCAAATGACTGAAAACTTATTTAGGAAGTTGTACCACATGTAAGTCTGATAATGCTCTATATAAGCTAGGTTGTGATGATTTCTAAGATTGTAACTGATGATAGCGGTAGGTTTAGTTATTGGCTCGGAGGAGTGCAAGAGAAGATTAGTTAGCTTGTAGTAAAAGATAAGGTTTAGCTTAAGGCGTCTTTTCCAGAGGGGTTCTAATCTTAGTCTTTCGCATCGCTCATGGTATTCCAGACCACTTTCTAAACCACTAGTTCTTAAGGTAAACTGCCGTTGCACTCCCTCTAATTTAAGCTTGTCATTTTGTCTGAGTCCGCTAAGAATAAAAGGGCATACTTTGTATCATAAAACCCTAGTTTCACAACAAAAGAAATTGCGTGTTACGCATCCTAGCAGTCTTCTTGTTTTACGTCTATCATAGTCAGTCTGTTCAGAGAACGTTAAGCTACTAGAGTATCTGATACCGAGGTCTACAACTGAGTTGAGCCTGGCTAGTTTTCGCCTATTTATTTCAAGAGTTAAATCAAGGTTACTGTTGCCGATACAAATCCAGCTGCATTTCCGAATGTTAAAATTAAGATAGGATTCAGCGCACCATGTTGCGAGACTACTTAGTTAAATGCATTTTATTTACTATATCGCCTAATTCATGAGTGTAGCAGTAGATGACTTTGACGTCGTCAGCATATAGGAATGGTTTACCTGAGGTGAAGCACTTGCAAGTGCTGTTAATGTAGACTGTAAATAAAAGTGGCCCTATGACCCTACTCTGCAAAACCCCACTTGAGATCTGCCTAGGATGAGACAATACAGGTCCCACTTTAGTTGTTTGCACCTTGCTGCTTAGAAACTCTTTTAAACAGTTCAGTAATGGGTTGCGAATTCCACATGAGTACAGCTTCTCAAAGAGAATACTGTGAGATTCCATTTCAAATGCCCTAGATATATCGAAGAAGAAAACAACTACTAGCATACGTGCTTCGCGACTACTAGTGATGCAGTTGAAAAAGTCGAAGTGGTAAGTAACGCAGGACTTTTTGAGAAAACCATGTTGAGACATTGTAACAAGATCTTCACTAAGTAGGTAGTCTGAAAATCGATCTTTTACAACTTTCTCCGTGACTCTTGAGATAACTGGGGTTATATTTATGGGTCTGTAATAACGGACGTTTGCCTTATCACCAGATTAGTGGTGTGGATGAGTCCGACTTACTCTGAACTTAACTTGTCACCAGATAACTTGACTGGTCCCATTTATGGGGAAAATTTTCGTTTCGTAACTGCCGGCTGCAGTTCAACTTGCATTATATCAGTTATATGTCTGAAGGGCACCGACATTATCATTTGTTATTACCGAAACATAATTTTTTTCGTCCGTAACCATTCATTTAGTATGATATCATATTAGTATATTATTTAGTATTATATTCACAAATATCAGTTAGTGACACATACGAAACTGTGATTTGGTTTGAAGGTGAGATACAGATTAGGATTAAATTCAGTTTTTCAGGGGTATGAGAGCAATGTCTACAAATCAGTTATCGTAAATATCTATCATCACACTCACGTGCATCGTAATCTCATAGCTTACCATAGTTTCTCACCTTTAATCCATGTCACCCCTTATATCCAGCAGATCTATTCTTCAGCGTTCATTTGAACAGATGGAATGACACCAGATTATGTTAAATGTCCTTCAGTCAAATTTCGCCCGATATACGTTCATTGGAAGAATATGACTGCGTCCAGAAACCCCCCCAATGTGTGTGAGAATTTCAACATTTCTAGATGAGAAAGTCATTTCCCTCACTTATATTTTTCAAGCGTCTCAAATTCAACAATAAGTAGTAATTATTTTCCTTCTGGCATAAATGTATATCAAAAACTCACTTGTTGGACTTAGTGGCTGGAACTTTATATATTAATTATATATAGTAATAATAAGTAATAACATGGTTGAAAAGCAATGATTTTCTTTGGGTCGTGGGTCACAAGCGATTAACAATTTTCAAACACATTGCTTTTTACGCACTACCTGCATTTAATTTCGAGGTCAAAGAAAGTGAAACGTTCAAGTTTGATTCGAGGTGACCTTGGTGATCTGTCCTAGGGGGTCAGTATGTAGCTGTTTTTCATAGCGTTCGTGTTAATTGTACTACTTTTATTACTAACGTATTTTATTTATGAGCAGGCAAGGTATAAATGATTCAGGTATTACGTGATGTCATAGTAACCTAGGACGAATATCTTCAAGTGCTGTTAGTCCTGCTTAAATAACTGAGATTATATTCTCTTTGATTGTTCAAAAAGTGATGCAGTCCTTCTTTTGAACCGTATTCAATCTAGGATTGTTGCGTTTTGTGACGTGGTCACAATAAGTCATCAAATGTAACACGATTTATATTTTGAGGTGTTTCTTCATTAAGTACATAATTGCGGATTTTCGTCAAAGATTCAGTCTTTTTGAAGAATTTTAAACCTATATGCTTATGAGACTGTGTCACATTGGCGCATTGCGTGGTTATTCTTGTAATACTGTCTTGGCCAAAACCGTCAGCGTTAACAGCTCATGCATAGGTTCCTGTAACTGGTGTAACTTTTTAATAGTCACTGGGGATGAAATCGAAGTTTTTATTTTTTCGATTTACAGCTTGATTCCACACTGTACTTTCGGTAGAAGTATGGAATTTTCAGCATGGATATCGGTAGCCCAAATTTTGCAGGCCGACCATAGATATCAGATGTGCGTCGGTGCGGGCTCGAACCCCGGACCATGCGCATGGTCAGCGAGAGTCCTAACCACTGCGCCACCGACGCAGTTGCACGAGTATAATGGCATTTGTATTGTCCATCTCGCTGGACCTACGTGGTGTTTGTCCTACTGTGTGAAGAGGTTATATCGCATTTAAAAGCAATATATTACTAACTGATATGTAGCATTTGACTGAATATCAACAATTTCTCAGGTTAATAGCTATCTTTTGGACATGTTGCAGATGCAGAAGTAAAGAAAACGCACGACTTTATTTGTGTTTAAATGTCGTCGATCCTTCTGCAGATTTTGACATTTCTGACCGTACTTATTGTGGATTTATCTCCACGGGTGCTGTTTAGCTGATAGTTTGTCCGCATTTATTTTTATTAAGTTTATGAGAAGGTAGCCACAATCGACTTATTGCAGTTCATCGACTGATACTGGTATTACCGCTCAGTTTTTCTATTGTTGTTTTCTCTCTTATGTTAATCCTAAACGTAGTGGTTAAATTTTAAAATGAATTCAGTGGTAATAAAAGTAAAAAAAACTGGTGCAACGCTAGACGATCGTTAAATAACGCCCAATTACCCAATAGATACACACGAGCTGTTGGTCATTGTAATAAATCACTCACTGCTCTTATCTTTACTCCCACTTTTCGTTAGCTTTTGCTATTGGTAATTGCAACTAGCAAACTGAGTTTTGATAAAGATTACAATTATAAAGGCAGTTGGTGACTGATTTTGGGTCAGAATATTGATCGGATTCTAAACCAGATTGGTCCATTTTGATGAATGAATACACACGAAACTTAAGTCACTATACGATTGCATTTCGGTCTTAACTTTTGCTCAGACACCTACGGCTAAGATGACTGGTAACACACTAGTTATATCACCGGATTTATGACTAAGCAAAGTTACAGTAATTGGCTATTGGGTTGTGATTAATGTGGTTAGAAAACTTTAAGTGAAACTTGCTGATTTATGTCATATTGACACTAAATCGTTAAGTATTATGACTTCAAGGGAATCATTAAATATACTGTTACTTATGTAATGCACTTACTTATGCGCTGTAAGCACATTCGGATATTACTTTTCAAGTAAAAGACATTGTCATTGGCGAAGTTGGTTACTAGAACAGTAGTGTTTCCACAGAGTTGTGTTTCTGTTATCTATGAATTATAGATTGTCGTGTTTGTATATTCACAGAACCATAATCTAAGGCTTATCACGCAAACCGACTTGTTTCGCATCTATTCATAATTTGATGAATACAAGATTAGTAACCAAATGATATATGTATTTAAATAGTCACTTTTGACTGATTTATTTGTAGCTAATCGGTTTCTGGCAAAGACACATTCTGGACCCCAAATGTTATAGTTCAACAAATTTCTGCTTAGTAGTTTTTAAAGAAAAAACAAAAATATCATAGCTGCGCTCTATATTCTTCATTCTTTTTCCCAAACTATTTAGAATTGTTCTTAAATGTCAGAATTTTCTATTCCCATCGCAAAGACAGATTTACTGAAACTTTCAGCCGAAAATGCATATGTTGTAAATGATGTTATTTCTGTGAGGAATTTACGAAACAATCTACCAAGTAAGTTTTGATTATTGACTGTTTTTATGGTTATAAGATTTGAATTCACATTATACTCATTTGTCATCTGGATGTTTTCACCATGATCTGTGTAAGTCATTCATATAATTTATTAGTGGTGTTGTGGAAGTCAAGCGAATGGTTCTTATTGGTACATATATATTTCAAAATCGGATCAGACACCAGTTGCTGGTCATAATCATTTTTAAGTTTTAAAATAAGCTACAATTAATGTGTCTCGTTATCCAAACCGAAGTAGGCAGGATAAATTTGGAGCTTCCTGAAGATTGGTTTAAACGTTATATAGCATTGATAAGTTTATGGCCATTGTGTTAACTGAACACATTTTAAAGGATACACGGCAAATCTTAGTGGCATTGGTTGGTAATTTGACGACTACGAAAAAGGTGTTTTTTCTAAACCTTGTCTTCATTTAGCTAGAAGTTCAGTGTCATAAGCATATGATGAATTCTGTATTACATATGTGATTGCACATGACTAAAGAAGATTCACGATCTCTCTTGGCTTGTAGTGTTATATTGTCACTGAGTAAAAATACGAATGTTAATTTACAATAATAATTTTCTGGTCGATTATTCCCTGATCCGAATTAGTAAAATCCAGAAGACCCACTCAGTCGGGTCAGTATTTTCAAACAAAAGAGAGGGAGACACAAAATGACCAAAAGTACGAAAATACATGGCATATGTTGATCCAGTCACAAGACTCGAGTGGTGGGCGTTAACTTAATGCTGGATTCTGATCTGTTGATGCCCAACATATGATTTATTTTTATCCGACTAACAGACTAATGAGGTAGATTGTGGACAAATCAAATATGTAGTTAGTGAAAGCAGAGTAGACTCCATGAAGCCTAAAGTTCATATCTTTACTGTTGGTAGATTAATGCTTAGCTCATTGAAGTGATACATAATCATGGTTTGTCATGAGTGCACTCCATTATTAGCCCACTATGGTTTTACTGCTAATTCACTGTTTGTGTATTTCTCTAGGGGGCTAAAAGCAGTCTCCGAAAAGGAGTAAATAGTGTTAATCATTTAACAAACCCATGATCATAATGGCGCCTTTGTGTATGCACTGTCTCATACATTTTTGAAATGATACATCTTTATCTACCACAAAACTTTGCGTGGCACCTCGCGAGGAATTATCTCTGCAACCAACCCTGAAATCATTTTCGCTTGCTTGAAATTGAGAATCTTCTGAATCCTAAAACACTCATATTCACACATACTTTTATGCGCTTTATTTTCCCTCTTGATAACAGCAGTTAACATTATCTATTGAGAAAAAGAAAGTGATATTATTCATCTTTAGAAATGTTTCTAGGGAAGAATATGAGTAATAAAGCTGTTTCATCTAAACATCTTCAGCCATGAGAGAGCTTAGTGAGTTATGTAGGCTGTCTATAACTAGCAATCTTTGCAAAAAAATGTACATTTCTCGTTTCAGCTTCATCATTGATTTCCTTCTGAAGCTAGTAAATACACCTAACCGTCTGATTCTTTAGGATTTACTATATGATTGTAGCTCCTGTTATCAACTTAAATTTCATCATTGGCACAGTTATGTCAAGAGTTGCAAACTAAGTTTGTGTTGATCACTTCACTTTGGAAGATACTTTGCTTTTAATAGACTCATTGATAGTGAAATCTCAACACGGGTAGAGAATGCTCGTTTGACACTTGTCGACTTGTATCTTGTGTGTGATATTCGGCTGTTGATCAAAAGACGTGTGCACTGTGTAGCACTTCTCTTCATCCTATTGCACACCTGTGGCATATGGCCAGTAAAGTTGAAAGATACAAAAAGATTGGCAGTTTTCGACCATAAATATTCTCAGTCGATTTCTAGCCTTAACTGGAGCAACACTAGAGGTAATAATGAAGTTAGATATTGAACCACGCGGGGAGATGCGAATTGCTCTGCTAGAGTCTTCAAGGTGCTAAGAATTATTATAACTAGAGATTTTTTTGTATCATTGCTCAAAGTCGTTCATAGAGGAACAGATGTCTTCTCTCTTTGTCATCAACCGGATTCTGAAAATCCTTTATCTGATAATTCTCTCCACTGTAGTTTCATTGCGTTTTTATTCTCTACTTTGTATTCATTATTCGGCGAAATATGGTAACTCGAACTGGTCTCCTTTCGTCTAATGGGGATAAGTCAGTAATCGCAGTAATGCACTACACTTATTGTCTGAGGGTCCATGACACATACTATCTAGTTGTTCCTAGTTGAACGAATCCCACCCAACCAGATCCGACTGGTTGATGAAAGACAAGTGTTTAAGGCAATGAGCCACACTGTTATTCAATAATTGCGTTTCTTCTCATTTTGTAGACACCTATACATAAATACATTCATACACCAGTAAGTGTCTGTTCAAACTTAACATCCATCTCTCGAAGAGTGTATGTATCTAATAAAAATCAGATGAGGCATATTCTGAAGTCTACCATTAGGTACTGCCTCATGTGTACTATAGGTAGACCAGCATATTCACTAGTGTTGGTTGTATGCGCCAAACGTTCGGATTCGCCCTTTCAATTCTGTGAGTAACACTCCTGTCTCGTGAAGACAGTCAATAAAACTTATCTGCCTAGCCGAGGGTATGAAGACGTGGCTACATCTGGCAGCATTTCGTCAGGAAGACGTAAGTCGATCAGCCCTCGGCCGTATCAGGTCGTTTATGGCGATAGTGTTTACATATATATTATAAAGTTTCGCAAAATTGGAATGTATTACAGTTATATGTATTCATTTATATCCAGTTAATATCATACGTTCTCTTGTTTTCTTTCCAAGAATGTAAACGTGCTCTAACAAGTTCTGGGTATTCATATATCCTAAATGAATTCGACACTTTATTCAGTGTGTTACAGTAAGTAGTTGTAGTTTCATCTTATAATGGAATTTGTTTTCTCTAGTGAATGGGATAAACTAGACTCAAGTACTAAAGAAGAAGCTTGGCATATTGTTCTTAAAGGTAAGGTGACACTTTTCTATACAGCTTCCCTCTCTCTCTTTATGTTTCATTCATTATTGTAATCTGTGTGGTATAAAATTTAATTTTTGGAAAGTGTTTCAGGAAGTCGAAAAAAATATTTAGATAGTAATTTTTTCCTTCAAAAGTTTGTTTGTAAGGATTTGATTTGTTTCAAGTCTTTGATCACGCATTAGAATCACATCAATTTTACACAAGTTTCACAGTTCATAACAATGAGGATTTGGTTGGTTTTGAGGTTAGGATTCATGGGCTACTAAATTCCCTACTAGCTGCTGGAATGGTCACCTCGCTCTCCTTATAACCTGTAGGTTCTGAGTATAATCCCTAGCGAAGGCGTCATGGTACCTACAGATGAAGATTCCTATATCAGGACGAGAATAATTGTGCATTACTCCCTGCTAATTTTCATGTGATTCTTCAAACAATGTCATTTCATCCCCTAACTTGAAATAGTAAGTAGTATTCAATGTATTTGTGTTGCTAGTTGGTATTTGTTTAAACAATCAGTCTGTCTGTCTGTTTTCAAAATAAAACTTTACACAAATGTGCGGCAGTTCAAGTCGCCACACTCCATGTAGCACACAAAGCAAGAGAAGAAAGTAGAAGTAATGTATAATAGAGACAGTAAGCAGAGGTGTGACAAACAATCAGTAAATCTATAGCTACCTGTATAAATAGGGTAATTTGGTGTGACTAGTTTCTTTGACGTCGTGCATTGATTAATAGTAATAGTAATTTTTTTGTTTCCTTCACGTTCCCAGTGGAACATAAGGCTCCAAGCTAGAGGCTTGAAGTTTCTGTGGCAGTGTTAATTTTTACAGGATGGGGTTGCCAGCCTCATGCCCAACCTTTCCGCTTTACCATTCTCACTACTGGCTTAGTGAGGTAACGGAGTGCGTCGGCCGGTGATCGAACCCCGGACCATGTGCATGGTCGGCGAGCGTCCTAACCGCTGTGCCACCGACGCACATAACAGTAATTTGCTTTATTCCACAAGAGTACTTATAATACAGTGTGGGATTCTTAGCATTTGGTACGGTATTGCATCTAATTTACTCAACAACAACAAGAAACATTACATGTTGTAGATAATCAGAAGTGATAATAGCAGATCTCTGGTATTTACAGTGACAATAAAGTCAAAAGTGTCAAATAATGATGACAATAATGGTAATAGCTAAAATTATAGGTTAATTGAAGTAGTGTTACGATAAATTACAAATAAGAGAGAATATAAGAGCCAATTATTTTGTTAACAACATAGTAAGTCGTAGGTTTGGCGCTTAGCGTTATGTCTGTCACATAGAACGTTGGCCAAATATGGTATTGTTGAGTTTTCGTACTTGGCTTTACGAGCATATAATCCTTTGTAATGACTTCTAATCTTATCTTATGTGATAATACAAGGGGAGGATTTAGGATAGGGAGGGATGTTCCGGGATTTAGCTCATTTCTAACATGAGTCCAGGTGTCTATCTACTACAGTGGTAACGAGCTCACTAAGTGGCACACCACTCGCCCTACTGACACCTCTTACTACCCTTCGCATTATAACATAGTCCTTTTTGAGTAGTCCAGGAAAGATTATGCGGGGATGGGGCAGTAAAGTACAGTAGGTAAGATGCAAGAGTTAACAAACTTTAAAAATAGAAGTTGAGCTATTCCTAATTTTCTTGACCCTTTAATGTAGTAGATTAGACGGAAGATTTTCTTAGAAATTCATAAGATGAGGCATCACCAAGAAAGGTCAGAGGAAAAAACTGTTCCAAGGTATTTTATGCTTGACTTAGTTCTTATTTCATTGCCCACTATGCTATAAGCATCATGTGAACAAACCAGTTTGTGCAGATCACTTTTATACCTAAAGGTGAAGTTAATTGTCTGACATTTGCATGGATTTGACGTTTGACTATTTAGCTTGGACCACTAGCTGATGTTCGACAAAGCTACTAAGTTTGGGATCGTCAGATTGGGACGCGACTGGCAGCGAGCCGATCATATCATCAGGATATTTAACGGTGTGGTTTTCATCCGAAAGAGGTTAGTCATATAAGAAGGAAGAAAAAAGAAAAAGAGAGAGAATAGCACTTTTAGGGACTTCGGTTTCAGTAAGCAAGGCAGAGGAAGATCTCTCTTTGTATACATTATGCTGCATTCTGTTAGAGAAATAAAAATACAACCAGTTAATGAATCAGATAAGCAACTTCTGTGTAATAGCTTTTGTGCTGGTAATTTCCTGGTGTCATGGGGAAGTTGCTCACTGGCTTAAGCGCCCGACTTTCATGGGTTCAAATCCCGCTCTATCTAATATAGCCTAGACAGCTGGGTAGAGTATCACCAGCTGTCATATAAGTGTGGCTCATAGCCTGGAGCATGAAAAACCTGTTCCAGGAACTGAGTTCACTATCCTTACCGGTCCGATTTCTGGTAGTAAGCCTAGTAAAGAGGGAAGTATGGGATTGAGGCTAACAATCCTACTGCGTAAAAAATAAACACCAGTTCTACTGGTGCTTGTTGAAGTCTTATGTCCTACTGGGAACGCAAAGGATTTAAAAACAAATATGTATACCAGTTAACTGACTTAGAAGATGACTGCCAATAAGTACGGAGACTACTTTCGATATGTGTTGCTAGTTGACTGACTCTGGACATATGAACTCAGGGTTGTGTTGTGGAGTTCAAAAACCACATGGCACACACACACACATGGTAGATTATATGATTAGTACTCGAGGGTTACTTTAATTATAATCTGATTTACAAATTATGCAATCTGTAACCATGGTCTTAATCTCTAATTTATTTCATTCCATTAATTTCATTTCTCTAACTGATGTCAGCTCATGATGAAATCCTCCAACCAACCAAACAAACTCCCTACGAAACCAATACTTGAAAATTAACCTGATGCTCATTAGGGACTGGCCCTGTTCAGGCAGTTAACCTGGGGTTCTAGTGGGAAGCCATGACCAGTCGACTTCAGCAGGTTGAAGGTGAGGCTGTAACTCATCGAAGAAGACATTGCGAAGTAGTCGCACTATGTCAGGAGTTGGTAGAAGTTAGAATTCATGGGGTGGCCATTGGATTGGGTCCCAGTGGCTTAATGGTCTACGAGCTCGCCAGCCTTGTAACGACACTAACCTGGGTTCGAACCCTGATGATGGGTGCGTAGTGTTGAGTAGTCCCAAACTGGGACGAAACAGCTATTCATTACTTCCCACAGGTTTTCAAATAGTTTTAAAGCCGATGTCAGCTCATTATGAAGTCCAACTAATTTCATATAACTTTAACTGGTTTGTGTATTTTCGATGGGTTAATGATGTATAACATGTACTTAGATATATATATATATATATCCTCTTCCATTTGATATAATAGGATGTGAAATTTGTGCTCGAGAATTGGGTTCAGTATTGGAAACTTTTGAATCTGATCGATCAACTAGTAATCAAAATGATATGAAGCGGCATAGGAATATAATAAAAATGCATACATATTTATTATGTCAATTTGTTGATATGTTTGAAAATGAATTGAATGTCAATGCTAAATCAGTAATCAGTGGTAATGTAAGTTTAATCCATCTGTTATTCTTCCTCTTCTTCATTTTTAAATGTTTAGTAATGAAAGTATGTATTAGGTGGTAAGATGAAGATGGCAGAAAGTTTTGGATCTAGTTTTGTTACTTTATTTCACTCCTCAAGGAAGGCGTACCTGCATACCTTGAAGGAACTCATATCTACTCAGGAATTCCAACCCCGCGTTACCTCGTGGTACTTCACTTGGAGACATTATCACTAAGCTATTCGGATCAACAAACGACTGACCTCCTGAAGAGAAGTCTGTGATTCGTACATTCATTGTTCGTCACTAGGGCGTAACTTAGGCCAAGTTCCTGGTCGTTTTGTGTTAATTCTAACTGGATTCTATCCGTCGAGTTTGTAATCTCGTTACCAAACCAATTGACTGGATATCGCGGTGCACTTCAAGTTAATGCAAGATGGTTGGAGGTAATCACCGTACTACCCATGGAACTTTAAGTAATTCAAACAATTGTAGATACATTATTCATGTACCACTTCATTAATTTGTGCGTATGTGGTCCAAGGGTAGAATACTGGCCAACTGCGCCTTACATAATCCGGGTTTCGATCCCTGGTCGACACACTCCTAAATCTGTCTTAGCTGGTAGTAAGCGCGGTGAGGAGGGGAGGTTGGGCATAAATAAGACTAGCAACCTTATTCCGTGAAAGAGAATAGTCCCACCGCTACTGAAGCTTCAAAGCTCAAACTGGAAGCCCTGTATTATACTGGAAACGCGAATGAATAAGATAAAGAACCTTCACTTATTTAATATAATTTAATATCTAGACGATTAACTATCGACGGAATAAATTTGAAGGAAGTTACGTCTTTCACTTATCTCTCCTGGACAAAATTGTTTCAACTACAGACGGCACAGAGGAGGAATTTAAAGGCAGTGAGGGTCGGAAAGGCGAGACAGACCTCTGCATTACTGTCTGAAATCAGCGTAGAAATCTACTACACTCAACGTAAAGAATGCTGTTTGAATTTTCAGCACTAATGTTAGGTCATTTCTTCTCTACGAGTTAGAAACTTGGCATCCGCGTCACCAAAAGCATTTCCAGTAGGTAACTGCAGACTTTAATCAACAGCTGCCCCCACTCGTGGCTCGATGCTAAACACCAGATGACCAGAAAGGATAAGCATCGGGGAACTCTGGCCACGGGTCAACCAAGAACTCGTTACCCAATAACTGTGCAGAAGAAAGTGGCGATGGATGAGACACACTTTGTAGAGACTGTTGAGTAACATCATATATCAGGCGGGTCATCGAGTGAAAACTGAGTGGGAAATGCCTGCTTTGGTGTGGGTCCGACAGAGATATGGAGGAGGTGCGAGCTTATAGACAGTCATAGAGCCAGCGTGAGACGGCTGAAGAAAAAAACTGAAAATCCACATGTTCTGTTGAAGCCCTGTTACAATGAGCCTCCAACGAAGACTACAACCAAGCGATCTGTACCTTTTTACCTAGTCTTATTAACTATCACCAGTTTTTTTATGCCATCACCTCTAAAGTTTTTTTCTGACTTATTTCTACTTCATCTAACATTCATTATAATAAAGGTTTTTTGTATTTCCCAATGAATGAAAAACAAAACGATATTGTTTTTACTGACGTTTCACTATTTAATGCTAATAGCTTTCTCAAAGTATTATTAAACTGGAATTCACAAAATCTCAGCATATATATAACAAAGTGTTAGGGGGTGAGAAAAATAGACTTTGTTCAACTTAAAAGGACACATTGAAAGTCAAAATAACAATGTGAAGATCGCTAAAACCAAATATATTTGGAAATACAAAAAAAACCTTTATTATAATGAATATCATATACCCAATGCTCAAATCTTTTCAAACCGTTAAAAGTGGACATTGCGTTTGGGCATATATAATTCACCTAACATTGTTCATTAAGGACAGCAATCATATGCTTTTAGAACACTTTCCAAGTGCCTCAACGGTTAAAGATTCTCAACCTCCTATTAATTAGCTTACACTCTGCTTACTTGACTTTCGAAGTCTAGTTAAAATGTTACTTACTTTGTTCTGTTATAATAATGATAATAATAATGATTTACTTTATTCCAAAAACAGTACTTGTGATACAGAATGGAATTTTCACCATTAATCACAATATTACATCTAATTTCGTCAAATTATAAATAAAAATTAATCACACAGGAAATTTTCCACATTTACAATAAGGACATCGTCAAAAACATGCAGCATATAAAATGGAAATAATAGTAATAGTGATAACAGCTAAGGTAATAATAATTGTAATACAAGTGGAAATTGCCATGGGCTTGTTTCACACGGTATTGTCGATTCGGTATAGAAATCGTAGCATGTTTAAAAATATTGAATATAATCTTCTCTTTACATGATATGGTGAGGGAAAAACAAAGATTACAGCAGTCATAGAGATAAGTTGGTGTTCGCAATTATGAGAGTAAAACAAAGAAGCAACAGGACCATAAGTATAATAGAAATAATAAAAGTAAAACTTGAAGGTCTATAAGGATGGATGGATGGAGTAAATTGTTTATTTACTAGATGAAAAAAGGTTAGTTAATTCTTTCCTGACACTATTTTCATCACATAGAATACGTTCCAAGTATGGTATCATAGAATTTCTATACTTAGACGTGCGAGCATACAGTTTTCTGAAGTTACTTCTTGTTCTACCTAAGGAGATGCAAGGGGAAAGCTGAGGGTAAAGTGGATGCTCCAAGTTAAACAAAATCCCTCTAGCAAATTTATTGCACAAAGTCAAGTGCCTATCGACAACGACGTTAACTATGTGGTCCACTGGGACACCACTCACCCTACTGACCGTCTTCAGTATTCTACGAATTGTCACATAGTCCTTTTTAAGCAAACCAGGAAAGAATAAGGGTGAGCAATAAAGAAGAATAGGTAGGATGCAAGAGTTGACAAACTGTAAGATGAGGGGTTGAGTTATACCCGAGTGTCTTAACTTCTTAATGTAAAATGTCAGGCGGAATATTTTACTGGAGATCGCTAAGATATGGGAAGACCATGAGAGATCAGAAGAGAGAATAAGTCCAAGATACTTAATTTCTGATTTGATTCCTAAATCATTGTCGTCAATTTTCCAACTGTCATGAGAATCGATGGCTTCTTTTAACTGTCTTTTACATCTTAAACTGAAATTAACAGTTTGACATTTAGAAGGATTCAGTTTAAGACCCTTAGACTCAGGCCATTTACTGACTCCCGATAGAAAGCTATTTATTTCAGTACAATCTAGCTGGGAGTTAACAGCCATTGAGACTGTTAAATCATCAGCGAAAACATTTACTTCTAGGAACTTGCATTCTCATGTATTCTGCCTTAGTCGGTCATATCTTACAGTCATAAAAGGTTACTGCAGAGCGGTCCGTTGACCAATACATACACCCTTTGAAGAGTAATTAAAGATTGTGTAATTAAGCGGCGCAATAATATATAATGAATTAAGTACGTATTTTTCATACAGTGTCAAATCTTTTATGATTGTGAAACATGATCTTCGAAAGTGAAAAACATGGAATGGTTAGCTATCTTTGATAATAGGTGTCTCTGTTCTGTCTCCCGTGTTAGGTGGTACCCCATCGTAAGCAATATTGGAGGGGGGAGGGGGTTAGGCATACAGTGTTTGGTACGATGGGGAAGTCGATCGATGAGGTCGTAGAGCTACATCGATTGAGATGGATAGGATACATAGTGCGCATACAGAGCTATTGCCGTCCTCGGCGGGCATTGTTAGCTAACATAGGATGGATCAGGTTGGATGAAAGCTAGTGGTGGTCAAACGAAAACACAGAATTGGTTCGCGAAATCTTTGACAATTGGTTTACACCAGTGACGTAAAAGGATATAGACTACCTGGTTGGGGTCCTCGAGATTCTAAGAATCAATGGCTGAGATGCATTCACTCTTTGTGACCTGCGGTATCCATTAAACGCTCATGTTTTTCCATGCTTCATTTCTTCCCCTCTCACATTTCTGCTTATTGTCGTTCTCCCAAATCTGTTTTTTTGTCTATGTTGCATGGAGTGCGGTAACTTGAACTGGTGAGCTTCTGTGCAAAGTTCTATCTTGAAACCAGTCATACAATGTGAAAACGATTTTTATAAATATCATGCCCGACAAAATTCGGAGTCTCTCCGAAGGAGATTAGTTCCACGGTAGTCCCACTAAGCTTTGAATCCTTCGATCTAAATAGTTTTTGATATTTTTACCTAATCTACTATTTTTGTTCGAGTTTATTCGCTTTATTGTCTCAATATAAACGGTGGTTTTTCTTTCAAAATAAAATATTTTTAGACTGGACGTGGTAAAGGAGGAAAAGGTAATCGTCGTGCTGGTGATCGAGAACCTCCTGATGTAAATTTATCTATGAACTGGCTCGCAGAATGTGAATCAGCAATCAATATTATTGATCAAATGTTTCGTTTAAAATTGGATAAATTATGGGATCCGGCTATCGTTGACACGGAACTCATTAAGTAGGCTATTCACAATTTTCGATTTGTATTCACACTGCTCTTACACTTTCTATGCTTTTATGACCTAACTGATTGTGTAACCGGGGGGGGGGGATAAGAGATTTGGTAATGGGCCTTAGTCAAGGAGAGAGAGAAAACGTCATATTTATACATTCTTAGCCACATTGAAGTTCGGCTGGGCCAGAAGAAAGAATAAACTGTTGTGATTGGTTGACAATTGGCTCAAAGTTAAACAGGGTGTCCAATGATATTATTTCCTGACCACAACGTAAACTAAATTTTCATTTGAAGAATAAATACACATTACGTTGATGATACATTTATAATAATTAAGAGAAATGATTTGAAAAATATACCCATAAATTAATAAACAACATATTTGAAGACTTTAAAACAATTAGTCCCTTTTATAAATTTTGATAGCGTTATTAGAAGACGGAGACTGTCTGAAAAATGTGATGTATTAGCGCTATACATTTCGAACAATCTGATCACACATTTACTTGTCAAGTCAATATATATAGAAAGGTTAAATTAAACAAAGTGAGAGAAAACGGAATTAAGAATAATTAACACAAACGTTTGGTAATCCAATCAAATAAGGATTACCAAGGTAGGTTAAGAGTAATGACAAACTGTTTTTGAATACACAAGGGGGCTTAAGTCTATGAATAGCTATAGCCTCAGCGTATTTCAATAAACATATTTGAAGACATCAAATTCACCACAAGAGAAGAAGAATTAGATGACAAAATCCTATTTTTAGATGTCTTAATCAGGAGAACCAACACAGGAAATTTAGAAATCAACGCACAACAACCAAATAATCAACTATACTAGCAATAATCCAGTTACTCACAAACGAAACTGTGTGCAGACATTGTTTAAAAGAGTTCAAACACATTGTAGCACTCCAGAGTTGAAAAGAATGGAAGAAAAATACCTAAAAATGGTGTTCAAAAAGAATGGTTATCCACAAAATTTCATCAAAAAGTGTTTAAAGTCGAATCAAAACACCATCAAGGAACCATTATCAAAGACCACAAGAAAATTCATCCTACCATACATGAGAAATATCTCTGAAATAACAGCTAGAATAATGAAAGCGTTTGATATAGATATAGCACACAAACCAGCCAGCCAGCACAATCACTTCAATCAATATTGTGCCGACGAAAGGATCCAACAGAAAAAGGGGATGAAATTAATACCATTTACAAAATAAATTGTATGCACTGTGACAAGCAGTACATTGGCCAGATTGGGCGTTCCCTTCGCATTAGAATCGAAGAACACAAATCAACCGTGAAAAGACACGATATATATTCTTTAGTATCAATGCATATAGACAATTGTGGACATCAATTTCATTGGGGTAATGCCGAAATCCTAGACAGAGGAAACACCAAAAGTGCAGTCAGGGAATTCCTAGATGCCTGGTACTCAAACGAAAATGCAATTAACAAACACGTTAATATAGACGAAGTTTACCAACTAATAAAAAGTAAATCAGATGACCAGAAAATTTAAAATCCAAGTCAATAGAAAATGGTCAATACATATGTAAAGATGGTTACCGGGAGACACAATTATATCACTCATGAGGAAATTTAAATCATTTTAGTTTATGTTAAATATTGCGCTGAAATGGGATGTTGTCCAGAAGGGGGACGACGAAAGCTCCGCAACTAAATCAACCAGCTCAAAGAACACTACTAATTAACAAACACACTTCTGCCTATGCAGCCAACCAATTGACTTAAAATGTTGTTTTCAATTTTTGACCGCTTCCTATCACAATCCATATCACGCCCCACAAGTTACACTGTTGATCGGACTATCTGAAAGATAATCATCACTGGGTGTTTTCTTCTTGTCTTATTTTCTTCTCTCATCAGTTTATCAGCTAATTGTTGTTACAAATTACTTGAAAATCGTGAAATGGCTAGTAATAATAATATACGAATGGCAATTATCAGTTTATTGGCTAATCTGGTACGGCGTCATCGTCATGGCTTTACGTGTGCTGTAAAATTGCCACAATTATTACAATGTTATCCTCATATGGTTAATTGTCTTCTTGCCATTGTGAAATCTTTCACTGAGGATGAGAAAATCACTGGTACTGTACGCGATTTATTAAAGGTTAGTTAGTTGTGTCTATGAATCATACTTACTGTTATTGTTGTTCTTATTCCTTTGGGTCTTCTGTAAATGTTCACAATTAGATCATAAGACAAATAAAAAAAAAGATGGTTGCACAGGGGGAAATTCTCTTTTCAACGAAGTCAGCTATTAGACTGTACAACATTCGCGTGTGTGTGTATAGAGTAAATGGATGAGAAAGTTCCAAAACTACTTCCAGTCGAGAGTCAAATTAACAAAACTGCAAATAGGGAATAAGATGTAAAGTAGCGTGGGCTTGAACTTTTGGGTCGCTAGTGTCTCAGCTATGCCTAGATGTCTTGATGTCACTCCCTTTGCGAGGTTTGGTCGGACCTTGTATAAGATTTTAAAGAATTTCTTTTAAATGGAGCTGAATGTCCTGAGCTCACCAGATATTCTTTTAGTGAGGTATATACACACACGTGCGTCGGTGGCATAGTGGTTAGGACGCTCGCAGACCATGCACATGGTCCGGGGTTCGATCCTGGGCCGGCGCACTCCTTTACCTCGCTGAGCCAGAAATAATGCTGCTTAAGAGGAAAGGTTGGGCATGAGGCTAGCGACCCCATCCTGTAAAAGTAACCATACTGCTACAGAAACTTCAAGCCACCAGCTTGAAGCCCTATGTTCCACTGGGGAACGTGAAGGATATATATATATATATATACACACCTATGTTCTCTTTTTGCTAGCCAGACTGTATAGTGTTCCCGAGCGCGCCCTTTAAGTGGACGCTTGGTATGACCATTGTACTCAATTTCACAAGAGGAAGTGCACTGGTATATGCATGCTGAAGTAGCCCAATGCAGCCGGCATCTCGTATTTCACATGTTGGTTGAATAGTCTCTTGCTAAAAAACTGTCACTCGTAAGTTGGTGGCTAAGTATGTTTTACTGAGAGATTTAAAAGACCGTTTGTTTAGAGAATTTCTGCTTCAATATCACTTTTAAATTCGAGATTAAGCAGCAGCATCTTTTTGTGGCGCTACCTGGACGCGTTCAGGGGCTCTCTTTGGTTCTAGGTCCTTGTCTGTGAATCTGGATGGAAAACCATTTTCCATTATTACTACGGTTTCAATCCCTAATTGCACAAAAAATTCAATTTTCTCAATAATTCTGATCCTGCTATGTTTATATCCGATCTTCTTGTTTATTTTGTTATTATTGCATCTTAATCCCTATTTGTAATCTTGTTAATCTGACCGTCGACCGAAAATAGTTGTGGAACTTTCTCACTCATTTGCTTTATTGATATGGTCGGTTATACACAACAAATTTCCTACCTAGTCGGTTCGCGAGCCTACTGTTCTAATCACTGTTAGCAACAACAACACGAAACGATACCACCGGAACCGCGACGTAACAAGGCGGGACAGATTGTTGAGGTAAGGCTTTTACTGTCTCGTATCAATGGTGAAAATGATTGACAGCACTTACGTATATATATATATATATATATAAAAGCCTCAAATGACCTTGAGAGACATCAGTTACATTGCTAAATTAGAACAGGCAACAACCAGTGGGAATCAAAGGTCATAGATAGAGAGATGGAAATCCAGTCAGCAATGTAAAGATAAATGTAGTATATTAGGAAAATTAAGTGTATATGACACGAATGTTGTAAAGTTCAGTTGATGACTTCGTTGAAAAGAAAATTCTGTACGTTGCAACCATCTTTCTGATTTTTCCTACGATCCTCTGGATTCTGAGTGGAGCTTCGGGAGCAAAACGCCGTTTCACTCTGCTGTCCACAGCCTTATCTATAGCTGGTTCTACGATTACCTGTATCCCTTCATTTCTTCCTCTTACATTCTTCTCCATATTACCCTCAAAGTGGCACCCAACTGGTCGTCCCCCATTTGGTTCCACTCGAGGGCTTGTTTGGTGTTCAGTGTTGTAGGGCTACATCGATTGCGATGGTTAGGAGAGAGGTGTTACGCATGCCTGGCCACCTCTTTCCCTATATAGCAGTATTAGGTGGTAAAAGATTAAGTTGGAATGGCCAAATTAAAATCTGATATTATTCTACGAAGCCTTTGGCCGTTGGTTTTAAGCTATGTTGGGAGCTGTGTGTGTGTATGGCTGTAATCGTCGAGACTCTAAGAATCTGTGACTTGAGACTTTTAGTGGCATGACTAACTTTATGAACTTCTAGATCCATCAAACTGTCACTACCATCCTTCTTCCATATGCATCTGTTCGTTACGGTCCCCTTGAATTGTTTTCTTCAACTTTGTGTGTGTTATTGAAGTGTCGCATCTTGAACTAGTGCACTTTATGTACAAAGTTCCATGCTGAAAACGCAGTCAGTCAGTGTAGTGACTAGCTACAGGGCGTAGTTGCTTCGAATTCTAGTGAGAAGTCGTCACCAATGGGGTCCACCTGGTTGCAGAGTGAGGACAAATACTCACCGACGATAGTTGGGCTAAAATCACGAATTGGTAGAAGTTAGAATTTATGGGTCATTGAATTGGTTGTCAGTGGCTTGTCTTGTAACCGGAAGGTCCTTTTTTCGAAACCTAGTGGGTAGGTACTACCAATGAACTCCCAAACTAGGATGAAATAGCTGTCCAGTACTCCCTTTTGGTTTTCAATGGTTCTCTACTTAACATCAGTCGTGGTTGTATTTGAAAGTAGGTCTAGTGTTTGCATCAGAACAGCGTCATACCTGCTGATAGGAAGCTTAAGCAGCATTTCAATAGAAAACATTTCTCCAGTCACATCGATAGTGTGTAGCATAGAAGTTAAATGGGGTTTATATGTTAACCTCCAGTTACAGTTATTACTACTTCAATTGTTATCATTCGTTTTACTATTATTATATGACTTGCATTTTTATTACTATGAAATCCATTTTTAGGAAATATGTAGTTATGATGGAGCACATTTGGAGCGTGATTCACAAGCTTCTCAAAACTTTTCCAATTTCCTGATCGAAGTAGCTCGACTATATCCATCACTAGCTCAATCAATTTTACCATTACTTCGTTCACGACTAGATGATGAACCCTATCAAATGAGAAATTGTGTTTTAAGCATCATCGGTGAAATACTGCCAATGTTTGCTAAACGTGAACAATTAGATCATAATGAACGTGTTCAAAGAGATCGTTTAATGGATTTACTGCAGGTATGATGTTCACCTATATATATTTTTCTTTTATGTTTCATCCCTTGTTTATCATGTTTCAGGAATAGAAGGTCGATGTTCTTTATTTCTGTAGTGTTCAGTCTCCTGGTTGCATCACAAACTGGGAAAAACAACTCACATTTATTACATGAGGGCTACTAGGCAGGATGAAGTAGTTGGAGCGAGGTGAAGCTAGTGGTAGCTGAACTTTCAACCAGTGCGTCGTCAGGGGTTCGAGTCCCCCTACTCCACTTGAAGAGGTTTCAGCAGTCATGCAGCACCACTAACCCCCTCAAACAGTAGGTGTTGCTCACCGCCAACTGCATGGAATCGCAACTAGTTGTTGAGTAACATTTCCTTTATTCGGAATCAGATTCGAAGGTGGAATGTATTGGTTAAAAGCTCAACGCTTAAACCAATAAGTCACGCGCCCCCCCCTTTAGTGTTTTTGTTAGAAAGCACTTCATTCAATTGCTAAACAATAAATGCTACGAATAAGCTATTCAAATTATCTGTAGAATTCCTAGTAGTAATCTGATTGTTTCATATCATACAGTTTTTATTCCTTCTTGGTGAATTATTGGCAAAAATTTGTCGTCTTTCAGTATGTCTTGTAAGGCTTCATTGCATCTCGACGAAGACAAACAGTTAAGTAATCATTATTAAGTAAAATATAGCAATAGTGTAACGACAGAAGTCAAGGGCCAGGCAACAGATCGTTTATTGAAAAAATTAACAGATTTTTATGTACATTATTATTAACGTTATTGTTAGCAGAGAAACAGCGTCTTCTGATTGGTCGTCTTCTCACTGGAAGTTAATCTGTCATCTCTTTGTGACCGTTTCTTTGAAGGTCAGCCCACGCAAAGTCTTTGTTCTTGTTTTTTTCTCATGACGAAGATTTGGGACGTAAATTGCTGTCTATCAATTTTAGTTAGCAGACAGCTCTCACCACAATAGTAGTTATCATGCCTGCCTTTATAAAAAAATGGGATTTTAGGAAGAAGAAAAGAGATGGACTACACTTTCCCTTTTACTTGAAATGTTACTCAGCGACCAATCACTTATTCATTCATTCGGCAATGGGCTACACTTATTGTGTAAGGGTTAGTGATACTGTCTGGCTGCCTTAATCTAGCTACCTAGAGATTTGAGTTCAAACCTTGCATCTCATTGGCGGTTGGTTGTAGACTGACCGTCTAGACCAGTGTGAATCAGGCCTCCAACCTTGTTATGCACAAGCTTAACTGAGAAGTACTAACTACTTCATAATGAGCAATATGAAGTAAATTATTTAAACTGGTTAGCTTGCTTCAACAGGCACTGTTGTATGCTGAAACCATCTTAGCTTCAAGGAAATATAATCTATACTTTTTACCACAATTGTTTCCTGGACTCAGATGATTGTGTCATCTGACAAAAACTCCTCTAAAGTACTCCAATCATTTTTTGTGAATTTTAATATTTGTGGAATCTTTAATAATAATAATAGTCTTTATTTTGGATAGTATTTATAAAATGTACAGAATTTTCAGAAGAGTTTATCGCAGGATATTTGCCCTTCGTACAGTATCTTCAAGTAAAATATTAATTGACAGTATATCCCTCGTGCGACACAATGGTCTCTGCGCTAAAGCAAAAACCACTTCATTACGATATATGTCTGCTTTATTTCCTGCAAGAAATCCACGATATTTAGCTGGGAAAGCCGATTGTAAGATGTTCAGAGGTACATTTTGAAACTTGTCACCCATAATCAGACCTTTCCTCAAGTTTAGTAGGAACTTACGTAATAGAAGCATTAAAGGTCATATCTAAATCGATTAAAACAAACTGAATGAGAGAAAATATATGCAATAGGGAGAGAGAGATGGAAGTTTTTGGCAGCCCAAGTTTTTAGCAGGCATCCGCCAAAATTATTAGGTGATCGTCTGTGCCGCATACATATATTTAATTTTTTTTCTCATATTTTAAATTGTTTTTTTATTATTTTACTTTATTAAGGAACATATTCATGATGTAAATGGTTATGTCCGGGCAAAAGCCTTACATATATGGCACAATATTGTAACTTTGGGAGTAAGTGTTTATTGTCATTGGAATTATTATTTCTCTGTATATTCTGATGAAAGCCACGGACAATAGCTGACATCTGTGTAAATGTCCACTTATGATATTTATATGCTTGTATGGCATGATATGAGTCCCCCCCCCCGTCATCAAGATTCCAGCTATGCCTTGTTGACTAGTGAGTGCCAACAAAAACAAAACCCCTAGGCTTCCTGCTGATTGTCTCCAACCATCTAATGCCAACAGTTGAGAGTGCACACCGTGTGATGATGATGATGTCAAATCACCTAGCTAGCATGTTGTAGCCATACTGGGAAACAAAGGATTCAGAAGGAATTAGTATGTCTGATGCTAGAACCTACACGAAGATTAAGCATGGGTGCATATATGTTTCTTTGATCTATTTTGGTTGTAGCGGCCTGCTAACTCCATCCAGGTATATTAGCACTACACTACACTCACTGCACTGCACCCTTTTATGCTATCACTTTCAACAATACACACAGTCACAAAAATGTTTTAACCAAGTGTGAAGCACCAATCAGCATTCGCATGTTATTTGAAATATAAGGATATGTGTGATTATGTGTGTTTGTTATGTCCACTGAAACCTGGTTTTTCCAGATTTTCCTCTCCAGGCTGCATTTTAGATGTGGTATACCCATAAAATCAAAATTTGAAAGTTACTTTGTTGCTATGTGTGATAACTTAGAGAACTACTATCCTTTTTGTATTCCAATGTCAACTGACAAACTCCTTAGCTATCGTTCTATCAGATTTGGGAATCCATGATATGTACTACTTGATTGCTATGAGTAATTGGAAAATACATCAATAATTAGTTGTCACTTTGTCCGCCTACCTCTTCTTTTACTTTTCTGAGCCTTCGAATGTTTGGCATGCGATTCGCCTGCTGTCAAATGTAAGATGATTCTACGGGACTGGACTATACCAATCCCTAGCTTATAGATGGAGAGCGAAGTGATAGAACGTGTTGACCACTTCAATTATTTGGGAAGTTACATCAACCCGAACGGTCTGATCTCTGACGAAATCTCAGCACAGATGAAGAAGGCTCGTGTTCCACTTACCAACTTTCACCATCTCTGGCGTAGACGTTACATCTAACAATCGATTGAAGGACGTGTGTACTGCTCAACAGTTCGCCCCGTTCACCTTTACGGCTTTGAGACAGCCATTGAGAATGGAAGACATGAAAAGACTAGTTAGCTTTGTTTGATCATAGGTGTCTGCGTTCTCGCTGTTATGTGTGTGTTAGGCGGTGGTATAAACGGGGGAGAGGTGCTTAGGTTAAGCGTCAAGTGTTAGGTAAGGAGGGAAAGTCAATCGTTGAGTTTGTGGAGCCTTATTGATTCAGATAGTTTGGACATGTGCAATTAGCTGTGTTCTCTAAGCTGGTTGGCTGGCACAAATCAACTGCCAACGATTTCATGGTGTGATTCCGTTTTATCGTTTGACCAACACTAGCTTTCATCCAACCTGATCGATGCTATTTCAGCTAACAACGCGCATCGAAAAAGGCAATGGCTAGGCATGCTAGTGTCCAAACTAATATAGAAGACTTGTAGCTCAAGTGGATGGCTTGCGATTAGTTATGTTCCCTGAGCTGGTTGGTTTAATTGCAGAGCTTTCATCGTCCTTCTGGACAATATCCCCCATCAGCGCAATTTTTAGCATGAAGTGAAATGATTCAAATCCTCCATGAATGATAGTCGATTTACATCATCTGTGTTGATCAGTTTTCATTGGCTTGGATTTTGAACTTTCTCGTCACATGACTTACTTTTTATCAGTTAGTAGATTTGGTCTATGTTAACATGTTTGTTAATCGCATATTCGTTTGAGTACACCAGGCTTCTAGGAATTCTCAGGAATCGATGTCGGTATTCCCTCTGTTTAAAAAATTTCGATATCCTCATAATCTAGTTTGTGTCTATAATTATCTACGTGCATTGTGTTCCCGGATTCTGATTCGAAGGGGGTGCCCACTTTGTTGACCGATGTAATGTCTGCTGCAGTTTATACAATTTATTTTGTAAATGGTATTAGTTTTATCTTCTTTTTCTGTTGAATCTTTTGGTATGCACAATATCGATTGAAATGATTGTACTGACTGGTTTATGTGCTACATCTATATCAAACGGTGTCAGTATTCTAGCTGTTATTTCAGAGATATTTTTCATGTACGGTAGGATGAATTTCTTTTTGGTCTTTGGTGATGGTTCTTCGTTGGTGTTATGATTCGATTTTAAACACTTTTTGATGAAGTTGTGAGGATGTCTATTCTTTTTGAAGACGGTTAGTAAGAGGTATTTTTCTTCCATTCTCTTCAACACTGGAGTGCTGCAGTGCGTTTGCACTCTTTTAAATAATGTCTGCACACAGTTTGTTTTATGGGTAATTGGGTTATTACTACTACTATAGTTGAGCATTTGATTGGTGTGCGTTGATTTTGTATATACTTGTGTTTCTAAATTTCCTGTGTTAGTTCTCCTGATTAAGGTATCTAAAAATAGGATTTTGTTATCTAATTCTTCTTCTCTTGTGAAGTTGATATCTTCAAATATGTTGTTTATTAATTTATGGGTATATTTTTCAAATCATTTCTCTTAATTATTACAAATGTTATCATCAACGTAACGTAGGCAGATTTTTGGTTTAATTATGGGTAGGGCTATCAATTCTAACCTTTACATGACGCCTTCAGCTATTAATCCTGATATGGGCGATCCCATTGGTGTTCCATTTATCTGTTCATATATTTGAGTATTGAATTGGAAGTATGCTGTAAGATATAATTCGATGAATTCTATCCAAGTTGAACATTGCGTTTTTATGATTACATCCACTATAGAGTAATTGTTGCTTAGTTTCTTTTGCTAGTTTTGGACTAATTGAAGTACATAATGCTGTGATATCAAAGGACACATTATTTCATTGTCTTCTACTTGAATGTTTTTGATTTTCTCTAAAAATTAGATTAGCGAATTGATAGAATGGTTGCATAATTCTGTTAGGTATTTTAATTTCTTGAAAAGTTCTTTGGTGGTCCTGGCAGCCAAACGATTGGCCGTAAGGGAATGTTTGGTTTGTGCAGTTTTGGTGTACCATGAAATCGAGGTATAGGTCTGTTAGATTTCATCAGCCATTGATTGAGATAATGTCGACATTTTAAACAGAGGAAACATCGAAATTGATTCCAGAGAATTCCTAGAAACCTGGTGCTCAAGCGAATAAGCGATTAACAAAAGTGTTAATATAGACTAAATCTACCAACTAATAAAAAGTAAATCTCATGACGAGAAAGTTCAAAATCCAAGCCAAAAAAAACTGATCAACACAGATGATGTAAATCGACTACCAGTCATGAAGATGGTTTCCAGGAGACGCAATTCTATCATTCATGGGGAATTTGAATCAGTTAATTTTATTATGTTAAAACTTGCTCTGAAGGGGGATGATGTTCAGGAGGACGACGAAATCTCTGGAATTAAACCAACCAGCTACAAATCTTCTCTATTAGTTCGGACACGTGTTGCGCATGCCTTCCTCGATGAGCGATGTTATAGCGGTATTGCATCGAATTGGCTGAGTGAAAGCTAGTGGTGGTCAAACAGAAACTTTGAACCACTCCATGAAATATTCGGCAGTTGTTTTTTGCCAGCCATGTAGGGAGGAGTAGACGTCCTTGTTGAGGTTCGCAGGATGCTAAGAAGGAATGTCTGGGGACAATTTGTGATATGGCTCAAAATCGTTTTCATTGGCTGTCTCAGATACATCCACTCCTTGTGATTTGTGAAATTCTATTGTTCTTCCATATTACTATTCTTTTGCCTCATATTCTCATTTATTATTTCTCTTTTTTGAATATCTTTTTGCTCTCTTCTCTTGCTTTGTTTACTACATGGAGAGAGTGTGGCAACTCGAACTGTTGCACATCTGTGCAAAGTTCTGCTTTGATGAAAGCAGTCGGGCAGTCAGTCAGGAATTTAAAAGGTATTCAGATCACACCGCATGAAATCTCCTTGTCACCATAAATGTTAATCGTGTTAGATTTTTGAATATTTGGTTTTTTTTTTACTGTAATTATCCTTTATTACTAATTCTGTACTGCTAAATACAAGTCCAGGTGTGTATATTTGGTGGTAGCTTTTATTTTTCATGATATGTTGTATGCATAATTCATTGATTTCCACTTCTCCTTAAAAGGGTTTACCAGTCAGTCGTCAATCAAAACTAGCAGCTTTATTAGTTGGTAGTTTGGGTGCAATGATGGATGTATCCGCTTCAGCGAGGAAAAATGCCTGTCGAACACTGACAGCTATGATATTGCAATGTCCTGCTGCCAAGGTAAGAATATAATATACTCTCTGTCGACACTAATTATGAACACTTTAAAACCACGTGGAGCCTAATATCAAATATAGTTTCGTGTATACCTCGGTTAGTTTACTACGTCGGTAGTTTTTTATTTTTAGCTGGTCCTAAGCCAAGGAAAGGAGGGGGAAGGTTGGGTGTGGAGCCTAGAGGCTCCAATTCAATCGCTACAGGAATTTCAAAGCATGACAAAAAGAAATTTATAAAATAACAAACTTATTCTTTGCTGAAGTCGGGGAAGTGAAATAACGCAGGTTGGTGAAAGCCTTCGGGAAGCCAATCAATCTATGTGTGTCTGCCTTTCATGAAAACAAAAATAAGGATGGAGACGTTGAATGTTCATACAATGTACGAAGCTGGTAAGGTTGTCCAAATTGCCAGAGGAATGGGAAAAATTGGTGGGTAGGAGGATCTCCATCCTCACTCCCGATGACATTCGTTGGTGGTTGCGCTAAAATCACGAATTGGTAGAAGTTAGAATTCATGGTTCATTGGGTCGAGTTCCAGTTGGTGGATGAGCTTGTCTTGCAAAAGAAAGGTCTTGGGTTCGATCCTAAGCGGTGGGTGCGTACTGCCAATGAGTCCCAAACTTTGTTGGTGATTAGCAGGATGTGCATTTCGTCCTTTTTGGGACTTGTCAACTGGATGAGCTTACATTTCCCACTGATGAATGGTGGTGTTCCCACTGAGAGTCTCTCAGTGAGGGGGTGGGACTTCATGGCTCACCGGAAATGCTGATGGTGAGTCCTAAATGGGATTAAATGCACATCTTGGTCCCCACTACTAGTCATTATCATCATCATCAACTGAAATAACCTCATGTTAACCTTTAGACATCATCGATGAATACGTACTCTAGGAGCTGATATGTCAACAGAAATCGAGATTTTCGATCCACCATGAAAGCAATTAGTGGGGAGGGTGGGCGGAATAAAAATCCAACCTAAAGGTAGATAGATCAGTTTTGTTTTACAAATTACTGGATTACATTATAAAATTAACATAAATTTCTTATTACCATTATCACTTTAGCTTACTGCAAATGAGTTACAACAGGTTGTAAATAAGGAGAAAAAACGACTTGAAAGATTAGAAGAAATATTAGGTAAGTTAACCATGTTCTTTTTTTGCTTTGAACACCCTTTTTGTTTCCTATTATTTCAATGGTATTTTATGCTGGGCGATATTACTACTATATACTACTACTACTACTACTATATACTTACTGTTGTCTCACTGTAAGGTACTGGTTCCTATGTAACGACAGAAGACAAAGACCAGACAACAGATCATTTATTGGGAAAATCAAGAGACATTTATAGATTTTTATGTACATTGCTGTCAGTGGGGAAGCAACGTCTTCTTGATTGATTGTTTCTCTACTGCTTGTGACCATTTCTTAGAAAGTTAAGCCATATATCTGCGAATCCTATTTGCACACGTTAAGTCTGCTGGGATTGGTTGGTGAATTCCTCTAGATTAAGCTTTGTTATTGGTTTTTTTTCTCATGACCCCGCGATTCGGACGTAACATTGGCGTAAATTGCTGTCTACAATTTTTTGGCTTGCAGCTAGCTCTCACCACACCTATACATACCTATCACATTTTTTCATAGTATAAAATGCGTCTCAAATTAATATACGGTACCGTCAAGTTTGTTTTTTTACTTAGTTGTCTGAGCATAAAGTCCTTTATAATTACTTCTAGTCCTACTTGATGTGAGATGTAACAAGGGCAGGGGAAGTGTTGTGTATAAAGACCGGAATCCTCAGAGGCTGATGAGATAATGTTATTCGTCAGTTTATTTCATGGGTACACGTGTCTATCTGTAACAGCTTTATAACGAGTTGGCTTAGCGACACCCTAGCACGACAGATTTTCTCTAGTGCCTTTTGCAATGTAGTTAGATGTTTTTTAGGTTGCCTTGGAAAGAATAAGCGGTAGAGGGGGAGCAATAAAAAAGAACAGATGGAATACAAGAGTTAGCAAATTGTAGAAGTAGAGATCGAGCGATACCAGATGGTTCCATAGGAGGAAGGTAGAGAAAATAACTTCCTAGAAATAGTCCAAGGTATCTAACATTTGGCTTAGTTTCGACTCCAATGCCTCTTAAATTTGATCAATAACAGTGCGCATACTAAGCTATAATAATATTTATTATAAAAATACATGTTTCATATTGATGCTTTCAACTCTCCAATTATTATCAATGTTAACAGTAAAAGTGTGAAATCTTCGTCACTGAAATACCGGTGTCCAAAAATTGACCAATCCACGGTTCTTTATATATTATGTCATATTACTTGAAATGTTGAGTTTTCAGTTCCTGGAATCTCTGTCCTTCATGTCCCAGGCTATGTGACACATTTATTGTGTTATCGATTGTGATACTATCTAGTTGTTCACGCCGAAGTAGGTAGGTACTAGGGAATCTAATAGCTAAAAGTGCAATAAATACTATGATCCAAACAAATTGACAAAATATCATGCCGGATCGGTCGGGGCCCGGCTTAACAACGACCGCGCTTCCTGCTGCCGTGTCACAGGGCAGAAGTGTTAAATATGCTACTGAGATGCACCAAACAAAAACAGGCCGCGTGTGACCGACCTCAAGCAGTTGTCCCCTGGGCTCTGCGGTCATGCAACCAACTTCCACGCAGCCAGGAAGTAACAATCGTCCTCACAATCCGAAATGCACACGAAACCTCTCTAATCGTCACTGATCTTTATCTTCATCTCTATTATCCTACCTTCCTTCCACTGATGCAACTCCTCTAATTGATGGTTCTTCACTTCCTCTTCACTCTGTGTCCACTAAAAACGACGGAAGCCAAACAGCCACTACCGATAGTCTCCTAAAGCCACGCCACCAATTTCATATAGGAGCATTTAATGTTAGAACACTTTGCCAAATAGGACAACAAGCATCACTAGCCAAGACCCTGGCATCCCGAGCCATTGATGTATGCTGTGTTTCAGAAACACGCATACAAGACCCAAGTGTGGTTATTCACCTAACCCCACCTGGCCAACAGGTTGAATCTGCAAAATTCACCTTGAGGGTGTCAGGAGATGCCACAGCTAGTTCACGAGGATTAGCTGGTGTAGGGATAGCTTTGAGTACTAGGGCAGAAAAGACATTGCTTGACTGGATCCCGGTAGATAGCCGAATGTGTGCTGTCCGACTGGACGGATCAGTAAAAAGGAGAAAGGACTGCACTACTCGCCGATGCCTTTTCGTAATCTCCGCCTACGCCCCCACTGACTGCAGTTCGGATGAAACGAAGGATGAGTTCTACCAAAAGCTGTCTGGTTTGCTGCGAAAGGCCGGACGCTCAGATATAGTCGTTCTAGCTGGTGACTTTAATGTTCAAGTAGGGAAATTGTGTCAATCTGAGAAGGATGTCGGTGGCACCTATGGAGTTCCGTGCCAGTGAACCGACAACGGTGACCGTCTCCTACAGTTCTGTTCAGATAATCATTTGTTTCTTGTAAGCACTAACTTCAAACACAAGGAGAGACACTGTTTGACTTGGAGACCCCCTTCATCAAACCAACGCTGGACACAAATAGACCACATAGCAATAAGCTATCGTTGGCGTGGGTCGGTAGGAGATTGTCGCTCCTTCTGGAACACGTGTGTAGATACCGACCATGCACTGGTCCGCGCTCGTGTGTGCCTACGACTGAACGGACGTAGGAAACAGCTGGCGGTAAACCCATCACGTCCCCAGCTCGATCAGGAAACTAAATCCGTATTTGAGGAAGAACTAGCTAAACACATATCTGAGTTCGACAACTGTGCTCACCCTGAAGAAGCTTGGAAGAATATTCAAGCAGCCATGGATACAGCTGTAAAAGCTGTGAATAAGGTAAATCCAAAGTGAGTAAAAACCATTGGATTTCGACTGCCTCATCCGAACTGATAGATACTTTACTTTATTCGGCTATCTCCTACGCGAGGATGAGCCGGCTTCATGAACATCTCGAATCATCGCTGCCCAGGCGCGGCGATCTGATGCAAGGTTTTACGACAGGGTTATCCAATTCTTGTTCCACAGACGGAGTCCGTAGACGGTTTGTAGCCTCAGGGACTCCATATCAGCCTTGACTGTACCAACCCATGTTTTCAGCTGTCCACCCCTGCGACATTGCCAAGATGGAAATGGCGAGGGATTTAGAACTGATTGGACCAGATCGTCATCTGGTCGGCGCAGAACATGGCCAAACCACCGAAGGCGACGTTGTTGGACCAGTACTGGAATTTGGTTGATGTTGTGGAGAGTTCATGAAGTTTCATGGGAATTAGGTACGAGTGATGTCCCCAGCATCGCTCTGATAGATGCTAGAAGACTTATTCCGGCGAGCTCCGAATTCAATGAGGAGCGAAAGCTGCACAAAAGGAAACTTACGAAAAGTCTCCGCAAGGACCGTGAACAGTGGTGGGTGACAAAGGCGAAAGAGATGGAAAAAGCATCGGCGATAGGCAACACTAGGCAACTCTTTAGACTCATCAGGGAAACGGGTGGGAGAAGGCAAATCATAAGTGAAACAATCTCGGAGAAAAATGGCTCCTTAATTAGCTCTCAGGATAGACGCCTTGAACGCTGTAAAGAACACTTTGAGGAACAATTTAACTTGCCTACAGCCACACTGAACCTCCCCGCCATCCAGAACACACCCGAATGGGATATAGACACTGGTCCGCCGTCTGTAAGTGAGGTCACAAAAGCTATCTGTAATTTGAAACGAGGCAAAGCGGCAGGACCCGACGAAATTGAAATTATTCCGGAGGTGTTTAAATATGGGGGTGACATACTAGTATGTAGATTAACTAAGGTACTAGGCAACGTCTGGGAATCAGAGACGGTTCCATCAGACTGGGGTAAGTCACTTATTATACCGATATTCAAGAAGGGAAACAAGTCCTCATGTGATAATCATAGGGGGATCAGCCTAACGAACATAGTTTCTAAAATCCTAGGCTCAGTAATCATGCACAGACTAAGCAGAACTCGGGAGGAACAGACAAGGGAAAATCAAGCAGGCTTTAGACCAGGTAGAGGGTGCATAGATCATATCTTCACTCTTCGACAGATTCTAGAACATAGACACACTTTTCGGCGTCCAACAATTGTCATATTTCTTGACTTGAAGGCGGCCTTCGACTCCGTGGATCGAAAGGTACTATGGCAATGTCTGACTGTGAAGGGAGTGCCAAGAAAGTACATTGCACTAATCAAGGCACTCTATTCAAACTCACGTAGTCGTGTAAGGGCTTATGGGGAATTGTCATCTGAATTGGTAACAACCAGTGGTGTCCGACAGGGATGTCCACTTTCCCCATTTCTGTTTAACTTCATCATAGATATGCTGATGGAAGTATCCTTAACTGAACGTAATGACTTAGGAATCGACTTGTTACCAGGGAATAGTCTTATGGACTTAGAATATGCAGATGACATAGTCCTGTTAGGGGAGGATGCTGACAAAATGCAGAGTCTTCTGAACACCTTGAGCAGCAATCTTCGTATGTTTGGCATGCGATTCGCCCCTGCAAAATGTAAGATGCTGCTACAGGACTGGACTACGTCAACTCCTAGCTTAGTGATAGGGAGTGAAGTGATAGAACATGTTGACCACTTCACCTATTTGGGAAGTTGTATCAGCACCAACGGACTGATTGGCGACGAAATCTCAGCACGGATCCGAAAAGCTCGAGCTGCTTTCGCTGACTTACACCATCTCTGGCGTAGGCGTGACATCCGATGCTATCAACCAAGGGACGTGTGTACTGCTCATCAGTTCGTTCCGTCCTTCTCTATGGCTCTGAAACATGGCCAATACGAGTTGAAGACATGAAAAGGTTGACTGTTTTCGATCATAGATGTCTGCGATCTCTGTCTCACGTTAGGTGGTTTAATAAGGTAAGTAATGTTGACGTTAGGCGTAGAGTGTTGGGCAAAGAGGGAAAATCAATCGACGAGGCTATAAAGTTACATAGATTGAGATGGCTAGGTCACGTGGTGCGCATGCCTAACCATCGCCTCCCCCGACGGGCATTATTAGCTGATATAGGTGCAGGTTGGAAAAGAGCCAGTGGTG